TGTTGTACGCGAATTCGATGAGAGGTAGCTGCTGTTCCCACGTGTTCGGATCGTCGCACGTGGCCCGAATCAGTTGCTCCATGGTCTGGTTTGTCCGTTCTGTCTGTCCGTCGGTTTCGGGGTGGTAGGATGAGCTGAATTGCAGTCGCGTGCCAAACTGCTGCCACAGGTTCCGCCAGAAGTTTCTTGTAAACTTCGTGTCTCTGTCGCTGATGATCGATGCTGGTATCCCGTGTAGTCGAACGACGGTCGAGATGAAGAGGCGGGTTGTTTCCTCGGCTGTGATTGATTTCTTGCAGGCTGCGAAGTGTGCCATTTTCGTCAGTCGATCGACGACGACTAGGATCGCATCATTCCCACTCGCCCCGGCCGGTAACCCCGTGACGAAGTCCATCGTCACTTGCTGCCAAGCACACTCTGGTGGTGGGATCGGCTGCAATTGTCCTACCGGCCGCTTCCTGCTTGACTTCATGAGCTGGCAAGTGGGACACGATGCCACGTGTCGTTGCACGTCGGTCAACATTTCCGGCCAGTAGTAGTACCGCTGCAGCTGCTGCCGTGTTTTTTCTACTCCGAAATGTCCCGAGGTAATTCCGTCGTGTGCTTCCTGTAATAGTAGTTCCCGTAGTAGCGTGTATCCTGGTACCCAGATGCGGTCGGTTCCGGCTTTTACGTAATAGACTCCCTTGGCTGCTGCGAATTGCTGTGAATTTCCTCCTGTGAAGAACGGGTCTGTTTGATATCCGTGGGTAAATAGTCCTGTCAGTAATGGGCTGGTCTGGGTGAGTAGTATCGCGTGGATCTGGGCAGTGGGGCGGGTCAGTGCGTCAGCGATATTCGATGCTCCTTTTTTATATGTGACCGTATAGTGGAAATTTGACTCGAGGAAGTCGAGCCACCGAATCTGTCGTGGGTTGAGGTGGGGCTGTGCGCGAAGGTACTGTAGGGATCGATGGTCTGTCCGTACTGTCACGTCTGCGCCGGTCAAGTAGCAGCGCCACACTTTGAATGCATGCACGATCGCAAGCATTTCGCGGTCGTGTATCGGGTAATTTCGCTCAGGTGGATGGAGCTTGCGTGATTCGTAAGCGATGGGTTGGAGGCCGTTGCCGAAGTCTTGTAACAGTACAGCTCCGATGGCGATGTCGCTCGCGTCGGTAACCAACTCGAAGGGGCGGTGTGGGTCAGCGATGCGTAGTACGGGTGGTGAACAGAGAACATTTTTTAGGGCAGAGAAGGCAGCATGCTCTTTCTCCCCCCACGTAAACGGCACCCCCTTGCGCAGTAAATCCGTGAGCGGGGCTGTTAAGCGTGCCATGTCGGAGACGAACCGACGAACGTAATTAACAAATCCTAAAAAACTCTGCAGTTCCGTGATGTTCGTCGGGGGACGCCACGCTTTTACCGTATCCAGCTTCTTAGGGTCAATCTCAACCCCAGCCTCCGAAATGACGTGACCTAAAAACTCTAGTCTGTCCCGAAAAAACCCGCACTTGGAGCCATTGGTGAGTAACCGATGTTTCTCTAGAATTTTAAAAACTGCTTCGAGATCTACTAAGTGCTGCTGCTGGTCCCGACTGTAAACGAGGATGTCATCAAGGTAAACGATGACGCATTTATCTAAAAGTGGCCTAAACGCCTCGTTCATGGTCATCTGAAATGTTGCGGGCGCGTTGGTCAGCCCGAAAGGCATCACCGTGTATTCGAATGACCCGTACCTAGTCCTAAATGCTGTCTTGGCGCAGTCCGATGGTTCGACCCGAATTTGATGGTAACCTCCCCGTAAGTCGATTTTCGAAAATACTCGTGCGGTTCGCAGCTGGTCGATCAGTTCGTCGGCGCGGGGGATGGGGTATCGTGATTTGACTGTTACCCTGTTAAGCGCTCGGTAGTCGATACACATTCGAAACCCTCCGTCTTTTTTCGGTGTGAACAGTATCGGTGCGGCGAACGGTGACGAGCTCGGTCGGATAAACTGCTTCTCTAACAGGTAATCTAACTGCTTCCTTAATTCGTCGAGCTCGGGCTGTGTCAGTCGAAATTGGCGCTGTACGGTTGGCTGTGCCCCCGGCTCTAACTCGATCCTGTGGTCATGTGCCCGCTGAGGTGGCAGTCCTTGCGGTAAGTCATCCGGAAGATACCCGGGAACCGTTTCAGTAGTGCCTGTAGTTCGGGCGGTACGGCTGCCAGCAGTTTCTGAAAATCACTCGGCTGCTCCTCTTTTTCAACTAATGCGATATCCACTGCGTACACGTCAGCTCCAGCAGCGACAACCCGTTTCATCGTGATGGCGTTGACCTGGACCGTCGAAGACTCGGGTGGCTGCCAGCGAGGTAGGACGACCCAGTTACCACCACTTCGCACTGTGCAGCTACCCGTCGTCCAGTCAATTCGTGGGTTATACCGTCGCAGCCAATCACGTCCCAATAAAATGTCGTGCCCATCCAGTGTCGTTGCGAGCATTTCCTGTGTAAACCCGAAGTTCCCTCCGCAGCGGACTTTTACGCGCTCCACCTTTTCCCGTATGGCCAATGGTGTTCCGTCGACTAAGCGTGCGTCTATCTCAGGTAAGCATCGGTTAAGTGTTAACTGTAACTTCCGTGCGGTTGCGGTATTAACTAAGCTGTGACTTGCTCCTCCGTCAATAAAAATCTTCACTGCTGCTCCCTGTATTTTCCCGTAGATCAGTACCGGGCAATCCGTCGCTGTACCCTCCTTATTCATCCGAGCCCGATCGATGGCGTGAATCGGTACTGTGACTCGGTGAGGGTCGGTGTGGTTGGGCGAGCAGGCCGCCTCGTCAGTAGTTGGCCCAACTTCTACTGACTGCTGGCGTTTCCCTGCCTCTGAGACTCCCTCCCCTGCTCTGCTCCGCGGCGCCTCAGCTCCTCTGGGCACTCGCTCTTGCGGTGGCCCGGCCTGTTGCAAGCAAAGCAGCGCCCTTTAAACGGTGCGGCAGCTGCATTCGACGCAACGGCGTGTATAGTGGCGTGCTCGATCGGTCCCCGAGGACGATGTCCGTAGTAGGACCCGGTCTCGGTCGGCGTAGGATGTCGATTTTCTCGGCGAGCGCGAGAATCTCGTTGAAGTTCGAGAGTCCGCGCAGCATTATTTCGTGCGAGATATCCGGCTTCAGCCCTCTGACGTAACGGTCCACCCGCTCCGCTTCGTGCATGTAGCCGACCTGTTCGCAAAGTGCGAGAAAACCGCTGGTGTAGTCTTGAACTGACCCGAGCTGGCGCCAAGTGCGCAGTTTCTGACGCGCCGAAATTGAACCCGCGATCGGCTCAAAACGCGCCCGAAGCCATGCGCACCACGCATCCCACGTGCTGTATTGGGCGGTCTCGCAGAACGAACTCCAGGTGACAGCTGGGCCCGAGGGCCCTTCCTCATGCGACGGTGGCTCGTAGGCGCGTGGCGACGTCACGATGACTCGCCACCAGTCCATGGCGGGGCCCCTTAGCAGTGAAACCGCATACCGGATCTTTGCGGCGTCCGACTCGACGTAATTGGCGTCGAAGAAAACGTTCATCGTGAAGACCCACGATTGAACTGTCGGACCGCCGCGCTGACTTGGGTCGAAGCAGGGCGGGCGTTGCGGCTTGAGCGGCATTGGTGCCATGTTGGAGTTTTCGCCACTTGTCGCCGCAAATTCCACGTGCCGACGGACTTCTCGAGGCTCCCGTGGGCTTGGCGCGATCCTGTTTCCTCCCATGCCAGGCATCGGCTGGGCGGCGCCCTCACTGGCTGCGCCTGAGCGTTGTCCCGTGCTGTCATGTCGTGTTGGTGTGCCGGACGAGATTACAATCGGCTCATCCGAATGTGCAGATGCGTTTGTTGGTGCGTGGTGTGTTGTTGGTACGTTCATCGTAGACTGTTGACGAGCGGAGTCACGTTCCGCCGTGAGCGTCGCGATTTCGAGCGCTTATTCTTCCAGCTGACGCACAAGACGATCAAGTTGTTCCTGCGTCAACGTGGCGATCGTGAAATCGGCCATGGCGGGGGTGTCGGGCAAGCTCCGCGAGAGCCTCTGTCGTGGCCGTGCGTGCTTACGAGAGAGCACTACGAGCGGCGGTGCTGTGTCGCTGAGAGACGTCTACCCCCCCCAAAAAAATGAGATAGTGGGGAAGCGAAGGTATGGATGCGGTCCGAGATGGGATCGTAGGCTCTGAATACCAAGTGTTACGTGTGCAATTGAGTGAACGAACGAGAGTTGCACTATCGAAGCAAGAGTACAATGAGCGAAGGAATGAGCGAAGAATATATAGCGAAACTACAGTGGTAACGGTAATGGACTGTGGTTGTCGCGCGACGAGCCTGGGACGGAGGTTGGGAAAATGTCGAAGCGTAGGCCCGGAGCGCGGGTTACCAGCCGAGCCGTGAGGTCGGGATGCGATGTGCGAAAATGGCGGGATGAGTGTTGATGCGATGGTCGCGAGTGGTAACGGTGCTGACTGAGGTGCTACAGTGATGTACGCGATGAGTAGGGATGCGAAGTAAGGAAAAGGGATTTTCCTTACAGAGAGAGACAATACTGTGCAGATACAAGCACATTCAAGAGAGATTCGAAAAAGCACATAAACCAGAAGACTGGGTTCGAGTAGGTTCAATTCAAAAGAATTTTCTATGCTAGATAATTTCATGTCACATGTCCTAAACAGCAAATCAAATTAGAGTGTGCATGCCCCCTGGTACGGTAGCTCTACCATCTCCCAATATCTGACACAAAAACGAACCACCGCAATCAAGACTGCATAGTGTCCTTCTTGGCGTTGTACTGGTCAAGCTCTGCATCAAGCTCCTCCTGCGTCTTGGGTGTCTCCGACTTCCTCCCTCTGCCTCTCCCTCGGCCCCGGCCTCGTGCACCTCCCCTCCCACCCCGACCACGACCACCAAACCCACCACCCCTGGTGACAAGCAGCAACACACAAGAGAGGCGTCAGCAAACTTCCATAGCCAGAACAGATGATACTGAGAGACAAAAAAGAAGGAACGCTTACCCTGCAGGAAAGCCAAACGGCGCAACAATAGCTGGTGCAACTGCCACCCTCGCGACAGCCGGAACAGATGGCGCAACGGTGGAACCGATCAGCTCAATCTTCATTGGTTTTCCGTCTAGCTGAACGTTGTTGTACCGGGTCATGGCTGCCAAAGCATCCGCTTTCCGTGCGAACACAACTTCCGCTGTACCCTGTGAGGTAACAAACAATAGGATGTCAGCTCTGATAACGGTAGCCGTATAACGCAAAAGCGGTAGAAAGAGCACTTGTGCATACCTTGGAACGGCCACTTCTGTCATAGTGAACCGAGAAGCGCTTGAGCTCTCCAATCTCCGAAAAAAGTTCCTGCAACAGAAAGACAGTGTATTTGAGTTCGTCCACTGAATCTTGACAGGAATAAGACATGACAATACTTGAAAAGCATACTTTATTCGCACCTTAACATCGTCGTTCGACACGCCGTAGTCCAAATTCGACACATAGAGCTTCGTCCCTGTCTCGATGCCTTGTCCCGCGGCACGTCCGGCAGCCGGAACAGCAACAGCGCCAGCATCGTACATGTCGTGTTGCCAGGCACGATCGGTTACCATGCCAGCAGGCTGGCGAGAAAAACAAGAAACAAAAAACGTGTGAACAAGAGCTCGTGCAGAGCTGTGCATCCAAGCGCCTGCTCCAAACCGACGTACTATTGCTGCATACTTGAACTAATGCTACATACTCCAAGTGCATAGCTTAGAGATAGTAAACAGCGTAATTTAAGAAATGATGTGGTTAGTTGTCACCAACATGTCAGCCCGCCAAGATGGTTCGAGGTAAAACGTCAGGCGTTCCCGAAAACCAGGAGCTGAGCGACAGAGGGTTGGACGATTCCACGACAACCGATCCCACCAAACGGCTCTCCGTAAGCCGCTCATCGTGGAATAAACACACCCCTTGAACGGCATCGACGAATTCTAAAAATCTCCTGGACGATTCTTCCCAGCGAGGACGAGAGATGAGGCGGAGAAAGCCTTGAAGAATAAGGAGTTCTGAAAAGCCTTCCTGGCTCTCAATAGAGAAACCAGGAGTGGGATTTGGATGGCGAGATAGAAGATCCGCTTGCCTGGCCATATGGTGTTGATCGAAATCCGCCTCGTCCAGATCTGCGGACAGGACCATAGCCCCTACCAGATCCGGATCCGCGTCCCCCTCGGCCGCCGCCGCGACCAGACGACTTCTTAGACTTGATGATATCGTCGAGGGACTGATCAAGCTCGGAAGCCATGATGACGCAACTGTGAGCAGCACACGTCAGAAGACGGCACGAAGAATAATACAGATCTCCACGCGAGTAGAAGCGGAAGCAGAGGCAGGCGACGAACCAGACACAACGGCTACAATTCTCGGATCTGCAGATGTAGGAAAAGGAAACCTGGTTGCAGATGTGGTACTGGCAGGCAGCAGCAGCTTTGACAAGCTAGGCTTGCCAGGTCGGTGGACAGAGGTGTGGTTGTTGCTTGGGAGATGGGATGGAAGTGAGGCCAGTGCCGTTGTGGAGTGCAAGATGGAAGACTAGCTAGAGGCGTGGCGTACTTCAGTCACCAAACCCTCGTTTTCCCGCTTTGTGAAGTCCGAAAATTGACGGACCTCCGTCAATAACCAGGCAGCAAGCAAAACGAATCGACGGTTGGAAAGGAGCACAGATGTTATGAGTTGTACTAAGAAGAGTGCGCGGAAGACTTAATAAAAAGGATGTCAAATACAGAATTACTGAATGACGATACAATGGAAGTGACGAGGCCTAAATAGGGGAAGTCCTAGCAAGGCGGGGAGGTTGGGCGAGGATGGCTTGGTGATGGATGCGATTGGTGCGGAGGCGACTCGGGGGTGGTTCAGTGCGACGAAATAGGAAGGACAGGTTCGTCGCGTGACCCTCGGGATGGCCTCGCTAACGAGTGCCTCAGTAAGGATTCGGTAAATCCTTACATCAGACTTCAACATTACATGTGATTCTGTAACTCTGTTATGCATTTTGTTACAAGGTGTACAAAACAAAGTGCACTGAATATTCTATAAAGAGACTGTGATTCTGGAAGCTGAGAATTGAACGAATGAGCGAGCAATTATAGGGCGAACTCTGGCTAGACGAGGACCTCAGACGTGCGAAGATTGGAAGTGTCTCGATTGGTGCAGGGCAACTCGGAAGTGGTTTGGGCCGAAATGTTGGCCGAACCCAACTGACGCGATGCCGTCGGGGCATAATCGATTGCGTGTGACGACGGTATACAAATTTTAGGAAAAACTTACCGTATAAGCACCAACATTACACTTCAAAGCATCTTACATAGAAATCACACAGAACATGACGATACGTAAACTACATGTGATGTCTTTTGTTCAAGTTCGATACAGCTTGATGCCTGTAAATTGCACAAAAAAAAATATATCAAAGTTCCCATTGTCAAACTTATATGCTATAGTCTGTGTAGGCTGTAGTGGGGTAGACTATATAGGGTACAACATTCTTAGGTTTTCCTACTTGTACCCACCTGCTTGCTAGTTCATTCATTCCTCATTCTTCACATGGTATAGAGCAGGTTCCCTCGTGGGAACGCTTCTCAGGGCCCACCACCTAACTCGATCTTTTTTTTCCTGCCCGAGGCGCGCCCCATAGGCCGCCCTCACGCCGCGCCCTCTTAGAGGCCCCTCGCGCCACCTTAGCATTCCCGTCGCCGTCCTTTGCGGCTCCGTCGCCGCCCCTCTAGGCCCCTCGCGGCCCCTTCACGGCCCCGTCGCCGCCGCTCTAGGCCCCGTCGCCGCCCCTCTAGGCCCCTCGCGGCCCTTTCGCGGCCCCGTTGCCGCCCCTAGCGGCCCCGTCGCCGCCCCTCTAGGCCCCTCGCGGCCCCTTCGCGGCCCCGTCGCCGCCGCTCTAGGCCCCGTCGCCGCCCCCTCTAGGCCCCTTACGGCCCCTTCACGACCTCGTCGCCGCCACTCTTGGCCCCTCTGCGACCCCGTCGCTGCCCCTAGCAGCCCCGTCGCCGCCTCTGGAGGCCCCGTCGCCGCCCTTCGCGGCCACCTCGCCGCCCTTAGCGGCCCCATCGCCGCCCCTAGCGGCCCCGTCACCGCTCTTCGCGGACCCATCGCCGCCTCTACCGGCCCCGTCGCCGCCTCTACCGGCCCCGTCGCCGCCTCTATCGGCCCCTTCACCGCTGAGCTGCCCAGCAGCTGAGCAGCCGAGCCACCACGCCGCCAGGCGCCCAGCAGCCGAGGCGCCCAACAGCCGAGCCGCCCAGCAGCCGAGCCGCCGAGCCGCCCCGCCCCCCAGCAACCGAGCCGCCGAGCCGCCCAGCAGCCGAGCCGCCCAGCAGCCGAGCCGCCCAACAGCCGAGCCGCTGAGCCGCCCAACCGCCGAGCCGCCGAGCCGCCGTGCCGCCTAGCAGCCGAGCCGCCGAGCCGCCCTGCCGTCGAGCCGCTACTGCTCCTACCGGCGCGCCCCGGCCCTACTTACTTGGACTGGTGAGATCACTCCCTGCTAGGCCACTGCAGTCATGGCAGCGCGCCGCCCCTCACTCCTCCGAGTTCCCTCCGACAGAGGCTCCACTCCAGACTCTTCACATGGACGTTTTGGGCCCCGCCCGCGTCTGAGGCCAGGGTCACGAGCGTTACTTCCTGTTGGTGGTTGACGACTACTCGCGTTACACCACAGTCTTCCCCTTGCGCAGCAAGGGTGACGTCACTAAGGTGTTGATCGACTGGATCCGCGCAGCTCGTCTCCACCTCAGAAAGAGTTTCGGCTCGGACTTTCCTGCTCTGCGTCTGCACTCTGACAGAGGCGGGGAGTTTTCCTCTGCCCGTCTGGGAGCCTTTTGTCGTGCACAGGGCATCCACCAGACCTTCACGGTTCTGGCCTCTCCACAGCAAAATGGGATAGCTGAGCGCCGCATTGGCATGGTCATGGACGTCGCTCGTACGTCCATGATCCATGCGGCTGACCCCCATTTTCTGTGGCAGTTTGCTGTTCAGTACGCAGCGCGTCAGCTCAACCTTCAGCCCCGGGTCTCCTTGCCAGAGACCTCCCCCACCTTGCGGTGGACGGGAAAGGTTGGTGATGCGTCTGCGTTTCGGGTCTGGGGATCTGCGGACAAGCAATCCCCCTGTGCTGTTCCATGCGTCTTCCTTGGCTTCCCCCCTGACGCGCCTGGGTGGCAGTTTTACCACCCCACCTCGCGCCACCCTCCTTCCTCCCAGGACGTCACCTTTGATAAGTCAGTGCCTTACTACCGTCTCTTCCCCTACCGCACTGCGCTCCTCCCCCCCGTCGCCGCTCTTCCTTACGCCACGTCCTCCCCCGGTAGACCCCCTACCCCCTCAGGGTCCTGCCCCGTCAGGTGTGTCCCAGGTAGACGCTGTCGAGCCTGTCGAGGTAGCTGTTGACTCGGGTGCTGCTAGAGGTGCTGAGCCTGCGGGTGCCGGGTCTAGAGGTGCTGAGCCTAGGGTGCGGAGCCTGGGGGTGCTGGGTCTGGAGGTGCTGAGCCTAGGGGTGCTGAGTCTGGGGGTGCTGAGTCTGGGGGTGCTGAGCCTGGGGGTGCTGAGCCCGGGGTTGCGGAGCCTGGGGTTGCTGGGTCTGCTCGTGTGGTCTCTCGCGGTGCTTCGTCGAGGCGGGAACTACTCTCTCCCGAGGAGCTGCACGAGTGGTTTGCCCAGCGCTGGAGCCGTGCTGCTGGAGTCGGAGGTGCTACTGTTGCTGTTGGTTCCAGAGGTGCTCGTGCTGGCGGTAGTGGAGCTGCTGGGACTGGGGGTGCTGCCGAGGCTGCTGGAGTTCGTCCTGCTGGAGGTACTGTTGGAGCTGTTGGCGATACTGGAGCTGTTGGTTCTGCTGGAGCTAGAGCTGCTGGGGGTGTTGGCGCTGGTGGTTCTACTGGCGCTGCTGCGTCTGAGGGTGCTGGAGTTGGCGTCGTTGGAGGTGGAGGTACTGTTGGCGCTGGTGCTGCCGCTAGGGGTACTTGTGATGTCCCTGCCAGTTCTGGAGGCGCTGCGCGGGCGCGGCCGTACTTCCTTCCGCTCCCTGAGCAGGTTCTGGGTCTCCCGCCTTCTACTGGTCTTGCTCCTCCCTTAGAGTGTCCACAGCCTGTCGAGACGCAGTCACAGTTACAGCCCGCCTCCCCCCTACCTGCTCCTTCTCCCTACACTGGTCCTACTAGAGGTCTTGTTGAGCGTCGTGAGCCTGCGTCTCGTCCTGCGTTGCCTGTTCGCTGCTCGCACTAGTGGTCGTGCTCCGCGTCCGCGTCCTCCTGCGGTCCCAGGCACACACCAGATGGCACTGCGTCCTTCTACTGCTCCTCTGCGTGTCCCGTTGCCGTCTCCTCCAGAGTCCTTTCTTTCTGTTCTTGCTGACCCGGAGTCTGACTCTCTTCGTGCTGCCAGTCCTACTGTCACGCGTCTCCTGGCTACTGTTGTCACTGACCCTTCTTTTGAGTCCACTGCTGCGTCCGCCTTAGTTGCTGAGCTTGTCGGCTTTGCTGCTCGCTGTCGTCTAGACTACGCTGCTAGTCTTGTTGCTGAGTCTGAGTCTGTCTGTCCTCCGTCCGTCGGGGGTGAGTGTGCTCTTAGCACGGACGTC